CTCACAATTTTATGCATAAAGAAACTGTTTAAGGGGCCACGTCCATATTCATGTTGCCACAACAACATCGAATCGACATTATAAGTGGGTGGGTTTTATGTGAACTTATCTCTGTTATCTTGTGGCAATTTGACAATTAATGCCAATAAATTATCAATAATTGACGTTAAATTATTAATTGACAATGAATTACAGTATCTAGCCGACTCACCACAGAAAATTACAAATTGAGTTGCATTATGCCCTGATATGCCCTACTTTATTATTTTACTTTATTTAATGCCAGACTATTTAACTCTGTCTGATCTCAGATGATTTTACTTATCAAGGGGAGAGAGCTGGTGCTTTTAAAATGGGTTAACTGTCATATCTGCCCATGTGCCTAGTTACCCCCTTCATGTCAACTATGCCACATAAATTGCACCCTACTTTATTATTTTACTTTGTCTAACACCAGACGATTTTACTTGTCAAGGGGAGAGGGCTCCTGCTTAATAGGTTAGAGTACCATTCAGCAAAGATTCTATTGGTTACAAATTATCTTCACCGGTAACATAAACTTTCATTTGGATTGTGACGGATATAAACTGTATTGAAGTGATCCAACTGAATCAAAGTATGTAATTGTGAGAAGTATTTTCAAAAGTAGGTTGTTTAATTACTGATTGAAAAATAAGAAAATCATTCAAAGAAATTCTTATTTTTTCAGGTAGTTAAACAATCTACTGTTTGCAACTGTAGCTAGTGAATAGTCTATTTTGCTGTATGATTGATTACAGTGATTACAAGTTTTGAAGAAACAATTGTTTAGTATCTGTGTGTTTATATTATGGACATGGATTAAACAATTAACATAGATTAAGATACTTAATTGAAAGAACTTAATCTATATATGTGTATGTATACTGTACAGAAATTTATTCTATGTTTAAATCTTTTTGTGTAGAGGATGCTCAAACCCTTTTATCAGGATCTCAACCCCTTGTCTATTGGTACTGGACCTCTGGAAGAGATAAGTTTGATTTCATTGATTGCAGAGGGAATGTTTGTGAAAAATTCAAATTGTGCAATATAGCCAACAACCTGCAGTTTATGATAATCCACAATTTATGATAATGATGATATTATATTGATCATTAATGTAATGCATGTATTGTACATGCAGGATATACCGTAAATCTCCAAATATAAGCCCCCCATGTATAAGTCCCCCCCCCACGTATAAGCCCACCACATGTACTAACGCTCACCTCATTCCAAACATAAGCCCCCCCCCTGAATATAAGCCCACCCAAATATAAATAAGCCCACTTGTTTATCACTATTACAACTATTTATCATTATTATTACTATGCTTGTTTAACACTTGTTTATCACTATTACTATACTTGTTTATTGCTATTAAACTAACACAAAAGATTGTCCATGTATACGCCCATCAAAAATCGCTTACGAAAGAATGTAAGCCCAGGGCTTATAGTTGGAAGTTTACGTATTGTCCTTATCTTTAATGACTAGAGTGTAGTACGAGGAGAGTTATGGCGTCACAATCATGGTCTATTTCTGTGAACGTTTCTATATAGTGTAAACCTTAGGTGCAATAACTCTGAATTTACTATAAACTTCATATATGACATAGATAAGTAATGCTGTAAAGTATAATGTAAATAAATTTTTCAACAGATTATTTTATTAATTGTTTTGTGTGTTGGATAGAAGGGATATACATTTTTAATATTCGGTAATGCTAAAATAACACTAAAATTGAGTGTTATTTTAACACTAAGGTTAGAGTGCTAAAACAACACCGAAAAGGGTGCTATTATGACACTAAAAATGGAGTTATTTTAACACCTTTGCAGGTGCTAATTTGACACCCTACAAAGTGGTGTTAAAATAGCACCCAAAAAGGTGTTATTTTGTACCTTTTTATTTGACACCATTTTTGGTGTTATTTTAACACCTTCAAATTAACAGTGTACATACAGGGTGTATAAAAAAAAACTGAACAGATTTGAAATTGCTCTCAATTTCGCAAAACACCTATTTGGATCTGTTTTTTTATATATATAGCTTCTTTGGGTATTTATAATTTAAAATAATGAAAAAAATTTCTCGAACTCAAATTTTGTGAACCAGGGGTTTAACCATGAACCATTTAATAAAATGCAACATTTTGTTGTTTTTATGAAAAAATCAGTTATTTTCATGAGAACGATTTGTTATTCCATTTCAATTTTTTTAATCTCCAATCGCAATAACGTAAAGTATTATTACCCGCGAACCAACGAGTCAAATTTAAGAAACAACCCACTGTTAGAAAGCTGAATGGCTACGCTTTAAAATGAATGTAAACTTTAACGTTTCGTCTATTATTTGTTTAGCAATTTACATTTCAGTCGAGGATTGCGCTTTTTTTGATACACCCTGTACATAAAGATTAGTACTGCTGCCTCGCTCGCTCGCTTCACGCTCGCTCGCTACGGCAGCAACTATATTGCATTGCTTTTTACCATTTATTCCAAATATATATGTGACTGTGAAAAATCTCTCAGTTTTCGGAATTCAGACATATTTATTTCTTAATATGGAAAGTAGTTATTTAGTGTGAGCCCCTCGATGAGCGTCCACGCTCTTGGGTAAACACTAAAGTAAATAAATGTTTATAGAAATAAAAATAAAAAAGTTATTTAGAAGTCTTGAAATATTTTTTGAGTATTCGATACATTTTGTAACGTTCAGAATTGTGGGAAATTTTAACCCAAAATGCAGTAAATGGCATTTTATGGACTTAATATTTCACAAATTTTCAAAACCCCCCAAATTGTCTCGTGCCCCTTGTAACTCCTGGTTGCCAAATAGGGAGCCACAGGGGTTGCAACAGTACAAGCGTTATTCAAACTCAACAAGCGTAGATAAATTAACACACAAAACTTTATTTCAATACAATGATACAGTCACGAAACGTTTCTTGGTAGCAGTTTGCTACGCCAATCTAATGGATATGGTAGCGATAGTTGATAGGTTAGCCTTTAGATCAGGTAGCAGTAGATTGTGTAGCGTAGATATTGTAGCAATATGTAGGTAGCAATATGTAGGTTCGAACTGAAACACGACAATAAAATAAAACTACTTAACTAAGTGATATACTTAAGCATGCAATAAACTAACGAATGTCAATGAATAACAAAACTAACTAAACATAAACTAATAAACAATCCAATACTGTAACTTACGTACTTTAGTTTACACCTGTACTCCAATAGCTGGCTGCTGTAGATAGATAATTGAAGTAGAAATCCACTATATTTGAATAGGTTGCGTTCGCATGTCTTTTTGTACTACCGTCAATTCAATACTAAAGAGGTGTGACTTAATGTCACGCAAACATACAAGGCTGATATGCCACAAGGGCATTACGTAATTATGATCTACTAGATATCCTGTTTCAAACTAACACCCCTACACCACCATTCCACCCAAGCGACACCACTGCCCCCAGCCCCCAAATCCTGCATATCGCCCTGCTGCTAAAGCTATGCTGTAGAAACATGCACAGTTACATATAATACAGACAAAAGCCATAAGAAACACACTACGAGTCAATAGGATTATGCTGAGCAGTACATTCTTATAACACAGTGCAAACTTCAGAACTTTTCAATATAATTGGCATTTGCACATATCCACTGAGAGAATCCAGAAGATCTCTAACCTTGCACATAAGTAATTGCTATGAGTAAGTACATAAGGGAAGCCTCGCATATCAAAGTTTTCCACGATTTTTTGCAGCTGTGACCAGTGGCGTAGCCACGGGGGGAACTGGGGGTGACGAGTCCCCCCACTCTCCTTCAGAACCACCTTCGAGATATGTTTAAATCCATTGAGAAACTGGGGGGGGGGGGGCCCTGACCCG